TGGTCTTGTATGTCTTCCATTTTCTAATTATTGCTCCCACAGTTGATTTGTTCACACCAAGCTGCTTGCCTATTGCAGATTCAGTCTTCCCAGCCTGGTGCAGGTCTACAATTTTGTTTCTGGTGTCCTTCGACAACTTTTTGGTCTTCACCATAGTGGAGTTTGGAGTGTGACTGTTTGAGGTTGTGGACAGGTGTCTTTTATACTGATAACAAGTTCAAAACAGGTGCCATTGATACAGGTAATGAGTGCAGGATAGAGGAGCCTCTTAAAGAAGAAGGTCCAGGTCTGTGAGAGCCAGAAATCTTGCTTGTTTGTAGGTGACAAATACTTATTTTCCACCATAATTTGCAAATAAATTCTTTCCAGATCAGCCAATGTGATTGTCTGGATTTGTTTTCTCATTTTGTCTCTCATAGTTGAGGTCTCCCTATGATGCCAATTACAGGCCTCTCTCATCTTTGTAAGTGGGAGAACTTGCACAATTGGTGGCTGACAAAATACTTTTTTGCCCCACTGTATATATATATATATATACAGTGCTCAGCATAAATGAGTATACCCCAAACAGATTTGTCAGAAAACCTTTATTTTCCTCTCAGAATCAACATTTTCTATGGGACACTAGACTACAAAATCCTCCCACAAATGCCATTTATTTGGTATTTTGTACACACATACAAGTATTTTTCCTAACAAATTCATCCAAAACCATGTTGCAAAAATGAACACACCCCAATGAAAGTCTTAGAAGCAAAGCTATATTTTAGACAACACAATACTAAATAACGAGAATTCAACTCCAGGTGAGTCTGATTATTTATTAAACAGGTGTCCAGCAGACAGGTGATTATAAAAGGGCGTTACCTAACAAAGAAAACCCCGCCCATTTCATGTTGTCAGCAATGGTGCCACATGGAAGAAGAATGTCACAAGGCCTGTGATAGAAAATAATTTCTTTATACGAGAAAGGTGAAGGCTACAAGAAGCTTTACTTATCAGTCAGAATACTGGAGCAAAAGTGATACAAAAATTTAGCAAAGATGGAACAGCAACCATCTCACAGAGACGTCCAGGCCGTCCATGGAAGTTAACACCTCGACTGGAGTGTCTTCTGATGGAAAGGGTTGAAGAAAATCGCCATGGAAGTTCACTGAAGTTAGCTAAAGAAGTAGAAAGCCAAACAGGAGTGATTGTTTCCCGGTGACACAATACGGCGTACGGCACAATACGGCAGAGGAATGACATGCATGGGTGTCACCCACGAAGGAAGCCTCTCCTAAAGCCCATGCACAAAAAAAGACCTCCTAGAATTTGCTGGGGCCCATGCTGAAAATGAAGAAGACTACTGGGGCTCTGTATTCTGAAGTGATGAGACCCATATAAAGGTTTTTGGAACTGATGGCTTCAAAACTGTATTGTGTCCCAAAGGTGAGGAGAACAAAGAAAAATGCATGGTGCCTACTGTGAAACATGGTGGTGGCAGTGTCCTTCTCCGGGGCTGCATGAGTGCTGCTGGTGTCAGGGAGCTGCATTTCATTGATCGTATGATGTATTCACAGATGTACTGCTCTATATTGAAAGAGAAGATGCTGCCATCACTCCGTGCCCTCGGTCGTCGTGCACTTTTCCAACATGGCAATCATCCAAAACACACATCTAAGGCCACTGTGGCATTTTTGAAGAAGAACCAGGTGACAGTGATTCAGTGGCCAAGTATGTCTCCTGATCTGAACCTAATCCAACACCTATGGGGGGAATTCTGAAGAGACAAGTTGAGCATCACTCTCCATCCAGCATCCAAGCTCTACTTGTTCATTCCATGCCTAGAAGACTTGGTGCCGTCCTTACAAATCATGGAGGTCGTACAGAATACTAGGTGGAGGAGTTCTTGTTGTGGGGCGGATTCATTTTTACATAAAAATAATTTGATTAAAATGTAAGATTGTGTAATCTAAGTTCTATTATTAACCTTCCTTCCATGTAATGAGCCAAACAAATGTTCCATAAAACTCAGTTACACTATATTGCCCGCAATATTGGGCCGCCGGCCTTTCCACTTTAATGGCCTCCCAGTCTTAGTCTGTAGGGTTCAATATTGAGTTGGCCCCCCCATTGCAGCTATAACAGCTTCAACTCTTCTGGGAAGGCCGTCCACAAGGTTTAGGAGGGTGTCTATGGGAAGGTTGGACCATTCTTCCAGAAGCACATTTGTCAGGTCAGGCACTGATGTTGGGGGAGGAGGCCTGGCTCACAGTCTCCGCTCTAATTCATCCCAAAGGTGTTCTATGGGGTTGAGGTCAGGACTCTGTGCAGGACAGTCAAGTTCCTCCACCCCAAACTGGCTCCTCCATGTCTTTATGGACCTTGCTTTGTGCACTGGTGCGCAGTCATGTTGGAACAGGAAGGGGCCATCCCCAAACTCTTGCCCCAAAGTTGGGAGCATGAAATTGTCCAAAATGTCGCCTTAAGCGGTCCCTTCACTGGAACTAGGGGGCCAAGCCCAACTCCTGAAAACCAACCCCACACCATAATCCCCCCCCTCCAACAAACTTTACACGTGGCACAATGCAGTCAGGCAAGTACCGTTCTCCTGGCAACCGCCAAACCCAGGCACGTCCATTGGATTGCCAGATGGAGAAAGCGTGATTGCTCACTCCAGAGAACTCCTCTGCTCTAGAGTCCAGTGGCGGTGTGCTTTACACCACGACATCTGACACTTTGCATTGCACTTGGTGATGGATGGCTTGGATGCAGCTGCTCGGCCATGGAAACCCATTCCATGAAGCTCTCTACGCACTGTTGTTGGGCTCATCTGAAGGCCACAGCAAGTTTGGAGATCTTTAGCTATTGACTCTGCAGACAGTTGGCGACTTCTGCGCACTGTGCGCTTTAGCATGAGCTGACCCCGCCCTGTCATGTGACGTGGCCTACCACTTGGTGGCTGAGTGGCTGTTGTTCCCAGTTGCTTCCACTTTGTTATAATCCCACTAACAGTTGAGCGTGGAATATTTAGTAGCCAGGAAATGTCCCGGATGGACTTATTGCCCAGGTGGCCACCTATCACGGGACCACGCTTGGAGTCACTGAGCTCCTGAGAGCGACCCATTGTTTCACCAATGTTTGTAGAAGCAGTCTGCATGCCTAGGGGCTTGATTGTATACACCTGTGTCCATGGAGGGGATTGGAACATCTGAATCACATGATTGGGAGGGGATTGGAAAACCGGAATCACATGATTGGGAGGGCGGGGGGACAATACTTTTGGCAATATAGTGTATATATATATTTCTTTTGCTCATACACTCTCTGCGTGTGTATACATACAGTAGATAGATAGATAGATAGATAGATAGATAGATAGATAATAATAGATAGATAATAGATAATAGATAGATAATCGATAGATAATAGATAGATAGATAGATAGATAGATAGATAGATAGATAGATAGATAATAGATAGATAATAGATAATAGATAGATAGATAGATAATAGATAGATAATATAGATAATAGATAGATAATAGATAGATAGATAGATAGATAGATAGATAATAGATAGATAGATAGATATATAGATAGATAGATAGATAGATAGATAGATAGATAGATAGATAGATAGATAATAGATAGATAGATAATAGATAGATAGATAGATAGATAGATAATAGATAGATAGATAATAGATAGATAGATAGATAGATAGATACTGTGTTTCCCCGAAAATAAGACACTGTCTTATATTTTTTTTTGCTCAATAAAACACACTAGGTCCTATTTTCGGGGTTGGTCTTATTTTTTAAATGTCCAGGTGTGGACAGGGGGTGCAGAGGTGAGCTGCAGGCAGTTGTGGATGAGGATTACTATGGAGAGGCCGACAGATGACAGTTGTGAGCTGCAGTCAGGTGTTGCAGGGGTGTCTTGACAGGTGAGATTCAGACAGCGTACAGTGTTCCAACATGCGTACCAAAGGGTGGAAATGACATCAGCAGAAGTTGTGTCTTCAAACTACAACCAGTTTCAATCAATGGATCATCATCAGGAAGTGCCACTTTGGTACGCATGTTGGAACACTGTGGCCATCTTGGTTCCTATTCACAGGCAGCAAGGCTGAATACACTGAGTGCCGGTTATGGGCACTTTGTCTAATATTGTTGGTTGTGAGGGTGCCTACCTGCCTATCTACCTACCTATCCAGAGGAAGTAACATCAGTGGTGCTGCAGGATATCAGCGTGGTTATAGTTCCCAGGAGACCAAGCAGTAAAGAGTGCACATACAGGGAGGATCCAGAGGTGATCCGAAAGGCTCTGTGGCCCTTTGAGGTCGCCGAGCGGAGGTGAGAGGCCATTGCAGCCATTTAAGGATCACTTATCGGTGTGTTGTGCATCCACACTGTATATGTCGCATGACCAGAAGTAGTGAAGCACCTGGATTTTGGTTTTTCACATGTTGGACTTTTTTCACTATTGGACTTTGTTGCAATTTTTCACGCATATTATTATTATTATATTTACTTGTTTGTAACTAGAGCGTTTTTTACTATTTTGAGCAGAGAGTGTGGTCTTTATCCCTCAATAGGGATTCACATATTTATATGTAGTATACAGGGGCGGACTGACCATTTGGAAACTCGGGCACTTCCCGAGGGCCCGGGGTCAGTAGGGGGCCCCATGAGATGCCCCTGGTACCTTTTCCATAGGCTTTTTTGAGTTTGGACAAGGACATAGGGGCCCTATGATCCCCTATTGCCCGGGGGCCCCATGAGTTGTCAGTCTGCCCCTGGTAGTATATTTTATTAATTTATAGGTCTGTGTCCCATTTATTGGTCACGTTATTTGTGGTTGTATCCCTGTAGGGATTGGGTTCACATTTATTTATAACTATTATTCTGTTTACTTAGTTATCACTGTTTATAGGTCACTATATTTGGTCCTTATACAGGACCTCGTGTGTGTGATTCACGTTTATTCACCATTTATGGTATATATATTCGGTCTCTGCCCGAATCACACACCTGCTGAGCGACATATCAGACTGGATGTCGCTCCACTTCCTTAAACTGAACCTCTCCAAAACCGAGTTTCTTGTCTTCCCCCCAGCCCGGACCCCACCCCCCATTGACTTCTCTATCACATCCAACAACGCCACCATCAAACCCACCCTGCAGGCCAGAGTACTTGGTGTCATTCTGGACTCCAACCTATCCTTCCAGCCCCAAGTCCAATCTTTAACAAACTCATGCAGACTCCACCTCCGCAACATACAGACTCCGCCTCCGCAACATGCAGACTCCACCTCCGCAACATTGCCAAAATCCGCACGTTCCTAACCCCAGAAACCACTAAACAGCTCATCCACTCCCTCATCATATCACGACTCTCGACTACTGCAACTCCCTCCTCACTGGCCTGCCTCGCCGCTGGCTATCCCCGCTTCAGTCCATCCTGAATACGGCTGCCAGACTCATTCACCTTTCCAACCGCTCCGTCTCCGCCACCCCCCCTCTGCCAATCCCTCCACTGGCCTCCACTCAGTGTCCTCCACCCCTCTCTGCCAATCCCTCCACTGGCCTCCACTCAGTGTCCTCCACCCCCCCTCTGCCAATCCCTCCACTGGCCTCCATTCAGTGTCCTCCACCCCCTCTGCCAATCCCTCCACTGGCCTCCACTCAGTGTCCTCCACCTCCCTCTGCCAATCCCTCCACTGGCCTCCACTCAGTGTCCTCCACCCCCCTCTGCCAATCCCTCCACTGGCCTCCATTCAGTGTCCTCCACCCCTCTCTGCCAATCCCTCCACTGGCCTCCACTCAGTGTCCTCCACCCCTCTCTGCCAATCCCTCCACTGGCCTCCACTCAGTGTCCTCCACCCCCCTCTGCCAATCCCTCCACTGGCTTCCGATTGCGCAACGGATCAAATTCAAAATCCTAACACTGACGTACAAAGCCGTCCACCATACTGCCCCGAACTACATCACCGACCTAATATCCAAGTACCGCCCAGCACGCACACTCCGCTCCTCACAAGACCTCCTTCTCTCTAGTTCCCTGGTCTCCTCCTCCCATGCCCGCCTCCAGGACTTCTCCAGGGTGCCACCCATCCTCTGGAACTCCCTGCCCCAACCCATCAGACTATCACCTACTCTCCTCTCCTTTAGGTGCACCCTGAAAACCCACCTCTTCAGGGAAGCCTACCCCACCCCCTGCTAACTTGCCGACCTCCTCCACTCTTCCTACCACTCCATCCCCCACAGCTATCTCCTCCTGTACCACCACCCCCTCCCTCCTAGATTGTAAGCTTCAAGGAGCAGGGCCCTCGATCCCCTCATGTTTTGCATTGTATTGGTATTGTTCTGTCACATGTTCTGTCTCCCTTTGTAATGTACAGCGCTGAGCGAACTATTGGCGCTTTATAAATACTGTATAATAATAATAATATTTGTTATGTATTTATTTATGTAGCGCTGCACCATATCTTTTATTGTATATAGTTGGGCCACACCGTGTATCTTACTTTCTGAAAGTTGGGAATGTTTGATGCTGACCTCAGGTTATATAAATGGAGATACTTATGATAAAAATGCCTTCTTCTGCTGTTTTTAAAATAAACAAAATAATCAATAATCATAGGAGCATGTAGGTAACGTTCCTCCCCTTTGCCTGGTCACACGAGGTCTCCTGATAAATGATATTCTAGCATTTTGCTTACATATTAAAACAGTTTCGGCTTCGTCTAAAATTCAGTGCAAGTTCAATTCTCCAGCTTAATGACCCAGAAATGTTCAAGTCATGAGCATTTTAAGGATATTCTGCCAAAGTCATTAGCCACCTGTTGAGCCGACGGAAAAAAGAAAAAGAAAATATGAAAAAAAAAAAGGTCAAATGAACGCCTTAGCGTGCTTCGTATCATTTCTAGCACCGAGCTAATGAAGTACATATGAAGTCTAATTCAGAGGAAAAATAAAATATTTCACGAGCAGAAAGGATTTTTTTCATGCAAATGGTCATTTTGCATTTTTTTTTTTATGTACAATTTTGTTTAGAAATATATACACTGTGTATCTTTTATATGCGCTTTTTTCATTAAATGAGTCCTTTTAGTAGAACCTAATGTGTACTTAATTCATTAAGGCTCAACTACAAAACAGGTTTTAATCTCTTGCTACTAAGAAATGTAAAGCTTAGCTCTGGGCAGGGACCCCCCACAGACTAAACTCTAAACACTCCCCTCTAGATAATTGCTACATTGAATGTTAAAAACTAATTAAAATGCCCAAAATACTCCTTTATATCTGTGGTCACCTGGAGCCTTCTTCTGGACTGATCTAACTAAAGATCTATATAGAGGAATCAGGACCTCCTTCCTCCTGCCGGTGACCCCTCTAGTGATATAAAGATCTATATAGAGGAATCAGGACCTCCTTCCTCCCGCCGGTGACCCCTCTAGTGATATAAAGATCTATATAGAGGAATCAGGACCTCCTTCCTCCTGCCGGTGACACCTCTAGTGATATAAAGATCAATATAGAGGAATCGGGACCTCCTTCCTCCCGCCGGTGACCCCTCTAGTGAAAGAAAGTTCTATATAGAGGAATCAGGACCTCCTTCCTCCTGCCGGTGACCCCTCTAGTGATATAAAGATCTATATAGAGGAATCGGGACCTCCTTCCGCCTGCCGGTGACCCCTCTAGTGATAGGATCTATATAGAGGAATCGGGACCTCCTTCCTCCCGCCGGTGACCCCTCTAGTGATATAAAGTTCTAGATAGAGGAATCAGGACCTCCTTCCTCCTGCCGGTGACCCCTCTAGTGATGGAAAGTTCTATATAGGGGAATCAGGACCTCCTTCCTCCTGCCGGTGACCCCTCTAGTGATATAAAGATATTTATAGAGGAATCAGGACCTCCTTCCTCCCACCGGTGACCCCTCTAGTGATATAAAGATCTATATAGAAGAATCAGGACCTCCTTCCTCCTGCTGATGACCCCTCTAGTGATAGGATCTATATAGGGAATCAGGTCCTCCTTCCTCCTGCCGATGACCCCTCTAGAGATAAAAATATATATATTTATTGGAATCAGGACCTCCTTCCGGTGACCCCTCTAGTGATATAAAGATCTATATGGAGGAATCAGGACCTCCTTCCTCCTGCCGGTGACCCCTCTAGTGATATAGAGATCTATATAGAGGAATCAGGACCTCCTTCCTCCTGCCGGTGACCCCTCTAGTGATATAAAGATCTATATAGAGGAATCGGGACCTCCTTCGTCCTGCTGATGACCCCTCTAGTGATATAAAGATCTATATAGAAGAATCAGGACCTCCTTCCTCCTGCTGATGACCCCTCTAGTGATAGGATCTATATAGGGAATCAGGTCCTCCTTCCTCCTGCCGATGACCCCTCTAGAGATAAAAATATATATATTTATTGGAATCAGGACCTCCTTCCGGTGACCCCTCTAGTGATATAAAGATCTATATGGAGGAATCAGGACCTCCTTCCTCCTGCCGGTGACCCCTCTAGTGATATAGAGATCTATATAGAGGAATCAGGACCTCCTTCCTCCTGCCGGTGACCCCTCTAGTGATATAAAGATCTATATAGAGGAATCAGGACCTCCTTCGTCCTGCTGATGACCCCTCTAGTGAAATAAAGATCTATATAGAGGAATCAGGACCTCCTTCCTCCCACTGGGGATCCTTCTGGTGATGAACCCCAAAAATCCCTTTGTTTCTCTACCGCCCTAGCCCTACTGTTTGCTCATTTCTAATGGTAGGTGCCCTCAGTAAGGCCGGGCAATGTTCAATCTAGGAAAGGACTTACATACACACTGCGCATGCGCAGGCGTTTTGACGCCATATTTAAACCGTTACTAATGCAACAAGTATTGGATCTCTTGGCACACAGGTTGCTTTACGACGGCGGGCTTTTATTTTTATTCTGGGATTCAGGTGGGAATGGGCTGTTCTTTTATTGCCATTTAGTCTGCACTATGAATAACCATCTTGTATTGGAGGGACTGATGGGGGGAGTGAGGAAGCCCCGGATGGGCTTGATGATCTACCGGCTTCATCGTGGCATGTCTCTGGCACTGCGTTGCGCATTGGGTCACTGTCGCTATCCACTCCTTATATGAATATACCCGTTTTGACAGAAGTGCCTATATACAGTGGGGCAAAAAAGTATTTAGTCAGCCACCAATTGTGCAAGTTCTCCCACAGTGCCAGACGTGTCCCCCTGCTTAAGCCAGTACATGTCCGGGCCCGTCTGACGTTTTCTAGAGAGCATTTGGATGATCCAGAAGAGGATTGGGAGAATGTCATATGGTCAGATGAAACCAAAATAGAACTGTTTGGTAGAAACACAACTCGTCGTGTTTGGAGGAGAGAGAATGCTGAGTTGCATCCAAAGAACACCATACCTACTGTGAAGCATGGGGGTGGCAACATCATGCTTTGGGGCTGTTTCTCCACAAAGGGACCAGGACAACTGATCCATGTACAGGACAGAATGAATGGGGCCATGTATTGTGAGATTTTGAGTGCAAACCTCCTTTCATCAGCAAGGGCATTGAAGATGAAACGTGGCTGGGTCTTCCAACATGACAATGATCCCAAACATACCGCCCGGGCAACGAAGGAGTGGCTTCGTAAGAAGCATTTCAAGGTCCTGGAGTGGCCTAGCCAGTCTCCAGATCTCAACCCCATAGAAAACCTTTGGAGGGAGTTGAAAGTCCGTGTTGCCCAGCGACAGCCCCAAAACATCACTGCTCTAGAGGAGATCTGCATGGAGGATGGGCCAACATACCAGCAACAGTGTGTGCCAACCTTGTGAAGACTTCCAGGAAACGTCTGACCTCTGTCATTGCCAACAAAGGATATATAACAAAGTATTGACATGAACTTTTCATATTCACCAAATACTTATTTTCCACCATAATTTGCAAATAAATTCTTTCCAGATCAGCCAATGTGATTGTCTGGATTTGTTTTCTCATTTTGTCTCTCATAGTTGAGGTCTCCCTATGATGCCAATTACAGGCCTCTCTCATCTTTGTAAGTGGGAGAACTTGCACAATTGGTGGCGGACTAAATACTTTTTTGCCCCACTGTACATGTAGACTTCTATTGAGTTCATTTGGCACTTTCTCTTTACTATGAGATCTGTGTCACCTGATTTGAAGAAGTATGATCTTTTTCTTCTGTAATCATTACCCTTGACCAATCAGGCACATGGTGTAGTAAATATTCATCTTCCCTTTATAGATTTCTTTTTGGCTTTAGAGCCTCATATCTGGTTCTGCCATCCCATTTTATGGTGATCCCAGTGTGAGAAATCTCTTGGGGGGTGTCTTCCCTTTCCCCCCACAAGCCAATTTTTATCGAGCCCCAGATGCATCGATGGTGAGCACATTAGCAGGAGACCATTTCTGTAATTGTGGCAAGTCAATTCACACAAGAATATTGGATGGTATGTAGTGTGGATATATTTTCCCGATTTTGCTGTTCCTAATGATGTTATTGTAGATTTTTATCAATGTCCGCTGTATTTATAGAATGTTTCTTGGCCAACCCTCCCCTTCTGCACTCCTTGAAGACCCCCCCCTGTTCTGAAACGCGTTGGGTCTGTCAGCTGAAGTTACATAGTTACATAGTTAGTCTGGTTATAATCCTACACCCACAGTTGAACCAGAGGAAGGCCGAAAAACCCAGCAAAGCACGATCCAATTTGCTCCTGTGGGGGGAAAAATTCCTTCCTGATCCCCCGAGAGGCAATCGGATATTCCCTGGATCAACTTTACCTATAAGTAAATATATACTATAGTTTTCGCTCCATAAGACACACCTAGGTTTTAGAGGAGAAAAACAAGAAAAAAAATATTCTGAACCAATGGACTTC